ATTATTTATTATTTGATTATAATTTACCAAAAATGGACCAAAAAAATGGCCCAGAATTTAAATAAAGAAATAGCAGTCTCTGATTTTTATTATTGAAAAACACTGAGTGTGTTGGACTTTTTTTTACAAGCAGACATTATGTGGTTAATCTACCTGCAAAGTACCTGGTATGAAAAGACTACAACAGCTCAATCCAGGCCAATTCCTTACAATTACATTCATAACTTGTCAAATCTGCAGGCATGAGGTCCTGCAGACCTGCAGCTCTGTAGACTGGCGCATGGCTACGGATAAAGGTATTGTTCCAGCTCTACTAGAGGGGGCCTGATGGGATAAACTGTTCAGCAGCTGGGCTTCAGACAGCACTCCAGCTCCACACGTTTACCACTGCCTGTCCTGTTGCGTGAGCCCACTCAGTGCCAGACATGTCTGAACACTCCATCAGAAACACAAAGCCTCAGATTTACTGCCTCTCCATAACGGCTTCAGAACATAAAGAGAGCCTGGCTTTTTAGTTTTGCACTGGAGCTGTGAGGCTAACGTACACCGGTCAGCCATAACATTATGACCACCTCCTTGTTTCTACGCTCAACACAAACTGTGCAGCAGCAGATGAGCTATCGTCTCTGACTTTACATCTACAAGGTGGACCAACAACGCAGGTGCATCTAATAGAGTGGACAGTGAGTGGACACAGTGTTTAAAACTCCAGCAGCACTGCTGTGTCTGATCCACTCAGACCAGCACAACACACACTAACACACCACCACCACGTCAGTGTTACTGCAGTGCTGAGAATGACCCACCACCCAAACAGTACCTGCTCTGTGAGGGTTCATGGGGGTCCTGACCACTGAAGAACAGGGTAAAAGGGGGCTAACAAAGTATCAGAGAAACAGATGGACTACAGTCTGTAACTGTAGAACTACAAAGTGCACCTATATAGTAAGTGGAGCTGATAAAATGGACAATGAGCGCAGAAACAGGGAGGTGGTCATAATGTTATGGCTGATCAGTGTATATATATATGCCCTGAAAAACCTGATTACAATAACGGCCTTGTTTAGAGACCATCAACAAATTATATTACAGTAACATAGCCACAAGTGGCAATCACCGGGGGTCAAAGCACTATGCAGCAATAGAGAGCAATATGTAGATTTATGATCCATTCATGATTATTCAAACGAAAGTACTTGAAAGGCACAACAATTTCTGACAGCCTATATTTTCGCACATACTAGTGTCTAAGTGCATAACAGTCCTTTGTTTATGTTTGTATTTATGCATGCTGTTTGCAAGAGATGGGTTTAAGGCTCTATTACTCGTTAGCTGCATTAGCTTTCTAGCTCCCATCCAAAAGGAAGCAGCTAACATGCTGACTGACTACTTTTAGAGTGAAGGGAAAACTGAGTCAATTAATTTTTCCTTCAACCGAACTAACGCTTTAAGCAAATCCCATTAGTGCTCTAATCCTATTAGATGCAGATGAATTTTCTGTGGAATGTGCATTTCAGACAGCGAGATGTCCTGCGGCTTTCAATGTGCAGAAGAAGTGCCTCAACTGGCCTGTGGAGGCTTTGCAAGATATTCTGCATATCTGAATGGAGCAATGCAACATGGAAGTGTGTGTGTGTGTTTCTAAATATGAAAAGGATACGGTTACAGCACCGGAACCTTATAAGGCAAGCAATGACCGTTTCACATTCATGTGGTTAGATATGTTTCTATTTCAGTAAAGCTCCAGAAACCTCATTTTCCAAGATTATCTTCTCAAAACATTATACAGTACAGAGAATGCCAAAAATGCTGAAACACCAATGCCAAGCTGGAATTTCTCAACAACATGACCCACTTTAAAATAGTCGCTTTGTATTCAAATCATGTTTCTGGATAGTTACACTCCACGTTCATTAGGAATCTACAACAAGTGATGCTTGGACGAAAACAGGCTTTTTGCTTAAGAACTACACAACTCTTCAGCTTTGCTGCTTTGGTATTAACTCCAAACCATTCTGAGAATTTTGCGACGGCCCCTTCAACTCCTTTAAATCTGCGACGAGTGAAACGCAGCATGTAGAATCTCAGCTTTCACTAATGTTTCCTATCACTGTATAAAAGATGCAGGAAACTTCCTTTAGAGCAAGCTCATCCAGAGTGAACTTCGAATTAGCAAATAATGGGTACTGATTATTGTGGTACATACTGGTATGTGACTTAAGCCCTATTGGAGCTGGATTAGTTTTACCAGGGGGTGTAATTTGCCTGATTTCAGACAAAATGTGTGATTGTGGTGGTTGGTATAGTGTAGTGGGTAACACCTCTGCCTTCTGCGTTGTAGACTGGGGTTCAATCCCAGTCTGCATAAACACCCTACGCTAGAGTCCTTGGGCAAGACTCCTAACACTACCTTTGCCTACCTGTTTAAAAACCGATCAAATTGTAAGTCGCTCTGGATAAAAGCATCTGACAAACGGAAGTTTTACTTCCGTACGAATCTGCAATGTCTGCAGTCGGTAAGCTTAAAGAACCCACTTTACTAGCCTAATGCTGGTCTATTTGCCATTAGCCACACAACGTGTAATTGCTCGGAAGTGTGGCGTCGGTCGCTGATGTAAACATGTGCATGGTAATGTTTCAAACCTTTGCACCACAGTGAGAGCCCTGCTAGATAAACCAGCATGGAGCAGCATGGCCTGGTCCCCAGCAAAACCAGCATATGTTGTGTTTCGGATGCTGGTATGCTGGTCAACCAGCATGGCCATACTGGCTGACCAACTAAACCAGCACCAGACCAGCATAGACATGGAATTTATGCTGGAATTCTAAGCTGGTCTATGCTGTTTTTTTTTCAGCAGGGAGTGCCAATAAATGTCAAGCACAACTTAATTTTTCTAATTAAATCTACCCTAAAAGCTAAAAGATACAAGGTGAAAAACAAACACTCGTAGTTTTAGCTGAGGTAACAGACGATTAGCATTCGTCTGTTTATCTTAAAGCTGCATAACGTATAATGTATGAGGGATCTGGAGACCTCTGTGGAGACCCCTTCCCTGAGCAGATGAATCTGCACGTTGAAAGAGTATTTAATGAGAACTCAGTCAAAACTTGGTGTAAGGTGTCTCTTCCAAGGCTGTAAGTGACTTATAAACTAGTGTCCTCATTATCTTCATCAGTATAATGTTGATTTTGTATTTGAGTCCTAAATACTAAGCCAGGCCCTTGTTTTGAGGCTGTACACACAGACACTCTCCAAAATCTTGTCGAAAGCTTCCCAGAAGAGTGTAAGCTGTTGTAGCTGCAAAGGAGGGACCAACTCCATATTAATGCTTATGGATTTAGAATGGGATTCATAAAAGCTCCTGCAGGTAAGACGGCGTTTTAGGGCCACTGTTAATAAAAATAAAAATAGTAGACTTTGAGAATAAAAGTCGTAATATTTCAGGAAAAAAGTCGTAATATTTTGAGAAAAAAAGTCATAGAATGACATTAAAGGTCAGAATATTGTGGCCAAAGGCTTTGTGAAGGGAAGGCAGCCCCTCCTCATGTAAAATGAGGGGTGGTGAGTTGATGGAGTTATACGTTCATATCGATTCACCCATAAAGAAACACTCAGTCTCCCTGTCTCTCCTGCTCATCAGCACCAGCCTGTTATTAGTATAAGAACCGGCTGAAACGGCTGAGCAGGAAACTGTGTTTATCTAGAAAAAAGAGCCAGACGGACTCGGAGGAAACTGTCTGTCTGTCTGTTGAAGGAGAATCTCAGGCAGGGTCGTCTACACGGCTATCGGGGCTCCATCTCCCCCCATTCAAAGAGGGCATGAAGTTTCACAGACAGTGAGAATGATGATCAGAATAATCCACAGAGAGACAGGAGTGAGTGGAGCTCCGGCGCCAGGACAGCAACCGAGACCCCAACGCGTTATGGCAGCCCCCCTACAGTTAGCCCCCCCTACAGTACAGCAGCCCCCTTTATCCTCCAAATATTATGACTTTCTCAAAGTCTACTATTTTTATTTTTTATTAACAGTGGCCCTAGAATGCTGTTGTATATAGGTGTGATGTGTAGGTGTCCAGATACTTTTTCCATATAGTGTATGTTGGTGATAATACATATGTTCATTTTTCATGCACCTAATCCAAATGTCCAGTATACTGGACACTGTTTTTTATAGGTTTCCAGTAAACCAAAACATAATTCATGTATTATTTTATCTAGCATGCAGCAGAGAATTTTTCATAAGAAAATAATGTGGTCAAAGTGTCCACTCTTGACTGAGGAGGTTAATTAAGTGGCTAAACTCAGTTGGAGCTAATATTCCTCTGTCTGTTTTCTCTCTCATGAGCGATACTGTTTAGAAACCACTCTTTTGCATCAGTGAGGCTATAAAGGGCACTTCCTGGGGCCCAGTAAACTCTTGCTGTCTTTGTTTGTCTCTTCTTTTCTTTATTTTCTTCAGAACAATCTCAAACCATCAAAGATACGGTCCTTTTCTCAGTTGCTCTTCTTGTGCACTGCTCTCTGCTTTATCCTCACAGCAAACTAACTAACGGAGCAAAACTGAACACAATGTTAAATATATCCTCTCGCCTGGCAGCTCGGCTGTAAACACCACTTAAGCTTATTCACGCAGAGGCTTTAGACAGAACTATGAAAGACTCTTCCCACCAAACAAAGGACGAGAAATAACAACTTTTCTGAAATACTGACTTAGTATGTAGAAATAATAACCTATTTTCTTTAATATTGACTTAATATCTCCATATGACCTATTTTTGAGACACTGTGTCAAAATAATGAGTTATTAAATTTCAAGAAAGTAATTATTTCAATTATTAGCTATTATTAAAAACTATGTCCTTTTTGCTTGTGGTTAAAGAGGCTCGTACAAACAGGCTACACTGAATCAAATCTCTATTTATGGTAATGGAATTGTTTTGATTTTATGCAAGACTGGGTGTAGGTGGTGTAGTTTGGTGTCCCGGGTGGTTTCTCTTACCGGAGAGTCAATCTTTATTAGAGCGATGTCCGACTTTTCGTCCACATCTTTGATCTTTGCATCGAAGGACATGCCGTTCTTCAGCTCCACCTTCACCCTGTTTTTATTGGCCACCACGTGGGCATTGGTCACTATGAGCCCGTCATCAGATACTACGAAGCCTGAGCCGCTCGCCACCGCCATCTCACGCTTTGAATACACCATCCTGAGAGAGAGAGAGAGAGAGAGAGAGAGAGAGAGAGAGAGAGATTGAGCAGCTGCAGATCAACAGTGAGGAAAAAAGCTGGTTGTGTGGAACTATTTCACAGTTTCTACGAGGAACATTAGACAAGTGATTCATAAATCACTGTTCATGCCACGTGTCAGGAGAGGGTACAGTGCCCAAGAACTTCTCCACTAAAGGTCTGATTACACTTAAAAATAACATCCCACTCAATACCTAGAATACTGCACAACAACAGAAGCAGAAAGGAAGAGTTCCTACGAGCGCTCCAACACTGTCAGAGGACAGTTTGAGACATGACGTAAAAATCCCAAATGACAGCCAAAGTGCAAAGGATAAATATAAAATAATGGAATTTTTTGCCTTAGATGAACAACCGTTATTCATCGTCAAGGATTCATTGGATTTCATGGTACATTTATTTATTTTTATTTATTAGTCTTATTTTTAGCTCAGTTTTGTCCCATTGAAAGCAGATTTTATCAATAATAAACTACAATATCTTGTAGGTTTTTTAATGTTTAGTATATTTATTCACAACCACAACATCACTGTCATGAGAAGATCTTGTTATTGCGGGACAGCAGGGAGGTGGACCCATGAGAAAGTGTCTTAAATGAGTTTATTGGGGTGATGGAGTGTGAATTTGGTGATTGTGCACATTGGAGTTGAGGTGGCTCAGAGCCAGACTTGAACCACCAGTGTGCTGATTGGTGGTCCAAGGAGTTACCGGGAAGCACAGGTAAAAATAGGAAAAACACCTCAGCGAATGGGAAATAAAAAAAGGCGGGAAAAGGCAGACAAAGGGGACGCTGAAAGCAGCACTCAAACAAAGACTGAGAGAGAAAAGTGAAATAAAAAAAAACTCTTCCTCTGTGATTCTGAGAGGAAGGTCAGCTTTATGTTTCACCTGTTTGCTCTTTGTGTAGCGAACACTTTTGTAGGGCTTGAAGCCGTTTCTTGTTCAAGCCTTCTTTTTGGCTTTTAAGTAGTTTTGGGGCGATTTCTCTCTTTTGTTTTTCCATCCCTCTTTTCTTTTTCCTTTCCTTTTCTTTTTTTTGTTTAAATACCCACCTGGGCTAAGTACCATACCAGTCACCCCTCTACAAAGGTGTGACAAAGGGCTGCTGTTTGCCACAGCCTTAAGTAGAGGAGTCCACAGGTGTGCCAGGTTGGGCCTAATCATCCAGAGGGCTTCTGGGAATTGGAGTTCCCTGAATTTATGGCACCTCGCTGCCGTCGCCCTCTACTGGGCCCTTACACTTGTATCTCTGTTTTTGCTAGTTTGCATAATTTGAAAGCTCCAGTTACTCTCTGCATTGTGTCAAAATGTCTTGATGAATGGTCCAGTAGAGTGGAGCAGTGGACATGAAAAAAATCCTGTTACATCAACTTTCATTGCAATGTTTTTTTTTTTCCTCTCCTTCTCCTGTAAAGTTACCGTTTTGGAGATATGAGGTTGTGTTCCAACTTTCTTTTGTTTATCCAGGGCTGCTTTTCAGTGGCGGGAGCTTCTCTTTTGTTTTTTGTTTTTTTGGGCCGGTTTTCTTTTGTTCTTTTGGGCAATATGCTTCAGTTCTTAGTTGTTTATTTTGGAGATGTTTTTGGCCTACAGTTTTTGTCCTTGAGATGTTTGCACCAGTTTATTTCTTATTAAAATCACTTTTTTCATTTATTCACTGTGTGCTTCCCTTTTATTTGTCTTGATGTTGAGCCAGTCATGACAAAGTCTGCACCAGAGTGGTACAAAACAAGTGCACACGTTCTTACTTGCGGTATAGTTCAATATGAACTACAGCAGGAGCAATCTTCTCCACCACGTCAGCGATGAAGTTGTACTTGTACCTCAGGCTGTTTGGGTTATCCTGGACTGTGGAGGGGGCAGGATCTAGCAATGAACAACACAAAAACACACCACAGCTGAGAACAAACCACTGAAAATATTAAATTACATCACCTCAACAGGAAAACTAGTGTTTAACTAAAAAAAAAAGACTAGTGTTCTGTAAATACACACTTGCTGCTTTTTACTCATACAAGTCATCCTTTGTCTCTCTCTTTCTCTCTCTCTCTCTTTCTCTCTCTTTCTCTCTCTCTAACTCACACACACCCACAACACCTTTTTATACACTGTCAGGACATGAGGTCATACATACACTACTTGGCCAAAAGTATGTGGACATCACTTCTAATATTACTTCAACATCACTCACTGCTAACAGACACACAACATCAAGGACGCAGCAATGCAGTCCCCACAGACAGACACTGACCGTTGGATTGGTGATACGTAAGAGCTCAGTGACTTTTAGTGTGCCCCGGACAACCGTAAGTGCTGTTATAGTGAAGCAGAAAAGAGCCCAGTGAGTGCTGAAGCACAAGTCACTAAGTCAATATTTTGAGAAAATAAGTCATCTTTATAGACTGGGTTTCCATGGTGACCCCAGTAGTTGCACACGAGCTTAAGATCACCACCTGCAATGCCGAGCGCTCACTGTGAAGCACAACACTGTTGGACTGTGGAGCAATGGAAACTTTCTCTGGAGAGATCGATCACACTTCACCATCTGGCAGTCTGACAGATGAATCCGCCAGATGCCAGGAGAACACTGAACCCCTTAGTTCCAGTGAGGGGAAATCTCAAAGGGAAACCTTAACCTAAAACTCCAAACCTAAACCTGACCTTCACAATGGTACTAATCCTAACCCTAAAAACGGCTGTGAATTAATGAATGTATCACCAGATGGTTTGTTACATATACATTTACATTTACAGCATTTAGCAGACGCTATTATCCAGAGCGACTTACAAAAAGTGCTTTATCTATCCAGAGAAAATATCTTTGCTAGTTATCAATAGGTTAGAGAGAAGGTCAGTCCTGAGCTCAGATACTGCTAGAATCAGAAAGTCATTATTGACACCTAGAGAAAAAGGAACAGAGTTAAACACAGAGCAGTGCTATACAATACAATACAACACAATACATAAGTGCTGTACAATACATTACAATCAATACTTAATTCAGTGCTCATTTAAGTGCTGTATAAAGAGACGGTCTTCAGTCTGCGTTTGAAGACAGCGAGAGACGCTGCTGTTCGGACAGCCAGTGGGAGTTCGTTCCACCACCTGGGTGCCAGCACAGAGAACAGTCTTGATGCTTGCCTTCCGCGCGTCTTGAAGGATGGCGGGTCAAGCCGAGCTGTGCTCGAAGCTCGAAGGGCTCGAGGTACAGTTCGAGATCTGACCATTGCCATCAGGCAGGGAGGGGCTGGTCCATTTTTGGCTTCGTAAGCAAGCATAAGGGTTTTAAATCTGATGCAGCTACAGGACGCCAGTGAAGGGTGCGCAGCAGTGGGGTGACGTGGCTGAACTTTGGGAGATTGAAGACGAGCCGTGCTGCTGCATTCTGGAGCAGTTGCAGAGGTTTGAAGGCCGCATAGGAAGACCAGCCAAGAGCGAGTTGCAGTAGTCAAGCCTTGAGATGACAAGAGACCGCACTAGCACCTGGGTGGCCTCTCGAGTGAGAAAGGGTCGGATCCTCCGGATGTTGTACAGGAGAAACCTGCATGACCGAGTCAGGTTCGCAATGTGAGTCGAGAACGATAACTGGCCATCCAGAACCACACCAAGACTTCTTGCCTCTACAGACGGGACAATCAGAGAGTTCTCGAATGAGATGGCAAGATCATGATGAGGACCTGTAGTTGCAGTTTGTTAATAATGTGAACATCCATAAATCTATTCCAAACTATATAAATAAAGTGGAACCGAATTTTCCAAGCCTAACTTTCACCTTTCAATCATGACACGTTTTCTAAAAAACATGTTACAAAGTCAGAACCCTGTGGGTTAGTCCTGTTTTCCTTCAGGGCCTTTTAGGTGATGAAAATGCACAAAAGCATGCAAGCACACACAAGCAGCTAGTTCTGAAGTGTCTTTAGTGGGACGTGTCTGGAAATGTTGACTCTGCGTCCTCTGTAATTTCAGCACAGAGCAAAAGGTGAAGTGAGAGTGTATTTTTTCTGTAAAACCCCGAACTGTCTATTATCGTCACTCACAGACTCGTAATATTCCCCTTTTAAAAATAAAGAGCACAAAAATGACACTTCATTCTTCCCTCGCTCTTTCCACAGCCCTCAGCGTCAGACCGTTTGGAGGGTTCAGACGTACACAACTAGAAGCGAGGGTCACGGTCACGTGTGAACACTCGTATACAACGTATGTGGTATGTATGACATGCCAAACAGTGCTTTTTTGATGTATAGCTCCGTGTGTTGATCTGTTGTTCCTCGGCGGTGCTGTAACTGGTTGATTACACAGGACGGAGGGGAAAGAGAAAGTGGAAAGAGTGTGAGTGCGAGAGATGAAAGTAGCTGTGGCTGCTCGGGTTTGCGCTGAGGGAGCAAAAGGACTTTCGTCCCACTCCGATGAAAGCCACATCCAGCGTGGCGTTGACGCTAGCTCATCTAATTACAGCCCTGACCGGCTCTGGTCTCGCATGTCCACATGTGGGAAGGTTCCACACAAACCATCATTTTACAGCCAGAATGTCACTTTTGGAAACTTTTGGCTGCTGCTTGAAGCTGCACTGGAAGGACTGCAGTCGCACTAACGGCGCAAGAAAACATGTCAATAAAGCCTAAATCTGATTTACACAGGATACATAAATGCAAGGGGGTAATTCAGAATCTTTGCAACAAGGAATTTTTGCCATGTTTTACAAAGGGAACATGTACACATTTAAGTTTTGACTATTTAGAGGAAAGGCGCCCAAAGTGGGGCCTGCGGATTTGGCCTCCCCAGAAACTTCAACAAATGAAATTTTACGCAACTTTTTTAATTTAGATACCTCTAAAGTCCCACAACAAAGCACATAAAACATGTTAAATATTTTTATGTGTAATTGTTACGCTCAAGAAACGACTAAAAATTACCTAAACCTCTGCAAACTTATGCAAACTGTAGACACGCCTTTGCTGCCTCACTTCTAAACTCTGCCTCTTCCCCAACTACCCTGCACGCTGTCTCTATGTGACAGACTGAACAGATGAGGCGAGGCAGACGAGAAACACAACTAAGCTCCACTGTAACTTTGATAATCAATACGATTTTATCGTTATGTCACCCCAGCATCAGTCACTCCACTCCACTTGGTCAGATTTGAGTCTTTCTTCTCCAAACTTGCCTCAGTGCAGCGTCAGTGAGCTAAAATTGCTGGTGGTTTAGCATTCTCACAAAGATAATGTTAGCCTCCGGTGCTAACAAGGATATAAATTTAAAGTACCTTAAGCTCCACACACAAAAACACAGGTTGACTTGCTCGGATTTGAGTCTTTCTTCTCTAAGATTGCCTCAGTGCAGCATCAGTGAGCTAAAATTGCTGGTGGTTTAGCATTCTCACTAAGACATTGTTAGCCTCTGGTGCTAAGATAAGATAACCCTTCATTAGTCCCACAGTGGGGAAATTCTCAGCGTTACAGCAGCAAAGGGAGAGCAAGGCACTCAAGAAAAGAAAAGAAATAACTAAGAGAATTAACAAGCAAGTAATTAACTTTGTTAATTACTTAACAAGGTTTTTACAGTTTGTAAACTTGCCTCAGAGCAGCGTCAGTGAGCCGACTCTATATATATACACATATACACAATATACATTAGTGCTGAATTATTTTTAATGTACAGTTGTACAGTAATAAGTTATGAAATAAAACTATGATCTGTACTGTTGTACACATTTCCGTATGTGCAGTTAGTGAGTCTGAGGTAGATCAATAACTGAGTTCTATACTGATATAGAAATCTTCCAGATTATACAAGATATGGATAGAAGATGTAAAAGAGGTCAATCTATATCTAAGTATAGATTTGCTGGATTGAAGGTGCAGTAAGATCAGAGTAGGTCTGTTGATGTGGATGAGGTGTGGATTGTCCATGGAGATCATCATGATGATGACTCAGAGGTGCAGTGACAGGCCTATAGGCCGATACCCCAGCACTACTGGCTGTTCAGCAGCCTGATGGCCCGACTGTCTCGGAACCGGTTGGTTCTGGACTAAAAGGTCATGTTGCATGCTGAAACAACAGCTAGCTAGCACAGCTGATTAAGTTATTGAAAAAAATTGAAGAAATATTGTCTACAAATTGCTCCAAAATGTGTTAGCATTAACAGTGCCTTACTAACGTGGCATGCCATGGACACTAATACACCGCCATTCCATGATAAATGTAGGCTTTGGTAGGTGGTCCTTTACTTTTTTGATCTGGACAAAGCTACTGTTGCTTAGCAACAAGGAGACACACAACAAAAACAGTGCAAACACATCCCTTACATTGAAAATGATTAGAAAAAAGTACCACAGTTTGCAAAAAAACGTACAGAGAATATCCCTAAACTGTTAAATGAGCTTTAATGCTTAAACTAGGCCTACATCAAAGCATACTTCAGCTCATAATAGCAAAAAGAACAGCCATTAACAATTTCCAGTGATGGAAAAGTATTGAGCTTGTCTGGTTTGAAGATTTCTCTTGTGGAGGTCCAACAGACTGTCTTGCAAAATAGGATCAAATATGTCAAGTCCAGCCAGGATCATGAAGCTATGGAAATCTAAGCAGACCAGAAAGGTTTCAACGAGTCTATTGTTTCTGTTATCTCCATCAGAACCGCACTCCGAGACATTCTGACCATCAGTGATGGACTGAAACTGAACTTTTGGCCACTGTGCCAAGTACACTAGGGTACGGCCAAGGCAACAGCCAAGACAATAGACAGCGCTGTAGCAGAGGCTTAGCCAAGGCTGCTTTCCACAAATATATTTATGGCTGAAGACAGAAAGAAACTTATTAGGTGTGCTTTGGGACTAAATACGGGGCCTGGCGATTAATTTAATGAT